ATGGGAGGTTTATACTGGGAATTWGACCCAATTGTGGGAAAGAAAAAGGATTTGGGGATGTACAATTTGATTCTCAGTGCCTAGAGGCACACCTGGTTTGGGGTAAAGAAGGGGATGCAAAACCTAAGGAAAATGGGTGCAGGGTTTGGTATTAAAACTGGCATCCACAGTGCCTGTCTGATGGGGCGATGGATGAGCCAGACTGACACAGCTCCAGACAGAAAGATATAAGAAAAGCTCAGTGAAGGAGAAGAGGAAAGTCTCCCTGAGCAGGAGAAAACCTGGGATTTTGGAGGAAACCTGAGGTGGGGGGGGAAGGAAAAAAAAAAAAGTCYAATAAATGACTTCTCTATGGAGGGGGCTCCCAAGAGCAGCTCGCTGTAGCTTCAGCAAACAAAGGTCTCATTGTGGAAGCAGCTCCGCTCGCAGCGACGAGGGCAGCTCTGAATTCCCCAGCCAGACGGCAAAAATTCCTCTCTAACACGGGGAAAAAATCTCAGGGGTTACTTCCCCAGGCTACATATTAATGCCGTGCAGGGAAGTTTGATACACATTCACATGCTTTAAGTGAACAAAAACTAAACATGCTATTATTTCATAAGCGTAAAATTTAAAGATTAGCTGATTCAGGGCAGGAAGAAGAAATTATCTGATTTAGATGAAGAATCAGATTGCAGGAGATCCTACTCTCATTGGCAACTTGTTGCTTCATTGAAAAAGAAAACTTGCTCTTACGTCAACAGCTCTCCCTTTCCCAAGGCTTTTCTCCCAAAGATGCCACCCTAAATGGGAAGATAATTCTTTGAGAGAAAGCTTTAAATGGCTTGTTCTATACAACAGCCTACCTAGGGGTGCAACACAAACGTATTTGCTAAGCTCTTTGTAYGGAAGAGCACAGCAGCACGCACATTTTAAGTAATTTTAATAACCTACTTATTGCCATACACATCCTGCAGGCGCAAGATGCCATGTGGTTCTCCCTTACAGAGCTGGGTTTGGAGCAGAAGGTGTAAATGCAAAGCCCTACCTGCGCCGCCGCCGTGGCCAGGAGCTGCCAAAGGAAGAGGAGCCCAAGAGCGGCGGATCCGGCCATGGTGCCYGGGCTCTGCCGCGGCACCGCTCAGCCCGCTCTCTCCTCCAGGGTCCAGCAGATCCCTCCTTCTCCTGCGGGATCTCAGCTTACAAATGAGCCTCCTGGCCTCCAGATAAACCTGCGGCTCCAGCTGGAGGGGCCGAGCTCRGAGCAGAGCGGAGGGAACAAGGAGGAGGTGGGAGAAGGAGGGGGCCCAACCGCGGGTGGGCACCAAGGCTCTCATTCATGGTGCAGCCTCGGGAGCACAAGGAAGGGCTGGAATCACCTCCACGGAGCTACTGGAGGCTGTAGGGCACAGCACAGGAGTCAAACTTAAAATTTAGCTGCTCTGTCTGGCAATAAACACGTTCCTTAGGTCACGCTTGGGGCATTTTTCGGAGCCCATCATCATCATCATCTCAGTGCTGGGCAGGTAAAAGACAACGCAAACGGAGAGCTGCTCTGCGCCCAAGGATCTGATTTTGCTAGAAAAATGAATATACAGATGTAAAAAAATGCCAGACACACTGGAGAAGTGTGCTCGCTGCTTTGGGAGATGCTGTATTACCTCCCGATATGCTCTCACCTCTGTTTTTTCTGTCTCTTTTTCAGGAATATTCACAGAATACGAGACTGATTTCTGGAGAAAATGATGAATCCTGACCAGAGGAGGTAAGCGCAGACAGGGATAAGAAAGAAGCAGCTGAAGAAACACAAAGCCACAAAAAAGCTAAGGAAGATCTTCCTGAAAAGCATCTGCAAAGAAATGAACAAGATGACAGAGCTCYCAGGGAGGTGCTGCCAAAGAGGGATACAGTGATGGAGGAGTAGAAATAGCTTCATGCTTCTCTTTATYAACTCAGCTGATCGATTTATCAATTTATTTCACCAAAAGCAGGGGTTGGAAGGGGAGAGGCAGAGTGGAAAGAGTCATCGGGACTGTGACAATGCAGCTCATTTGGATAAAACAACGCCCTTTTTTAAAATGAAAAACTTCTTTTTTTTTTTTTTTTAAATAAAAGCTTTCAAGCAGCAGGAAGTTATTTCGACCACAGGAGGGAATCGCACTTTGACAAGAGGCTTGTTCAGCAGCAGACTCGCAGTGCACACAGAGCAAGGATTCAGCAGGAGAAATGGCAAGGCAGAACTGGAAAAGCAAAGCTCTGGATGTGAAATACTAAGTTTCAGCTTGGCAGCCTTAAAGGAGGAGATTTACCTGAGCAAACAGCGGGGCCTGCCCAGCTCCCCAGCAGCCAATATTCCAACACTGACAGCAGGACAGAGGACTCAAAGCAACTCAGTCTCCACTAGGAAGTGTGTGCATGTCCATGTGTTCAAAGGGCTTCCAGGTAGAGTGAATATTCATTCCACYGACCCTGCAGAGCAGGGAGAGTGGTGAAGTCGCAGGAATCACTTCACACAGAGCTTGTACCTCTGTCTTTGACCTCAAGATGAAACAATGGCAGGAGAAAAAGTCAAGCCAAGATCCTGGGCTGTGGTGCTGCGGGAGGGCTGGTTTCCTACAGCTCCGCTGGCGCCCTCGAGGACCAAGTCCTGTGTCCTGCAGAGAGCTGGAAGCAGCAGCTTCTGGCACGAGTGATGCAAGGGRCAGAACACACTTATTCTCCCAACTCCAGGAAAGAAATAAAACCACAATAAACTGCTTTAATTTCTGCAAAGCAACTCACTGGGGAGCCAGCCAGGAGCTGCAGCCTGCCAGCATGGCAGCAACGCGCACTTACTGAGCAAGATGAGGGAGGGATGATATTTTCAGCGTGAAAAGTTTACAGAAAGTGATGACACCGCAGTCCAAGTGATGAGCACACACAGGCGAGTGCTCCAGCAGCTTTCATCTCTCACGTTGTTCACAGTGACTCGGGGCGTGGAGGACTGGTTTGCCACTAGGTGAGCCCAACCTGAGCTCTGCTTTACCTGCTCTGCTCAGGAATGTGGGATGGCCCCAACAGGCTCTTTGGAGATGCCCAAGCAATAGCAGAAGGCTGGAGGGTGCAGTGCTGGGACTGATACATGGTGCCTTCCAAGACGAAAGAAGTGGAAACTAGTATGCATTGAAATCATRCTTTAATAGGCAACACTAATATAGACTCCATTGTACAGCTCCACGYGATGGAAAACACATGCTGTGAGCCCACTGCAAACATCTACAGMCGAAATTCTGCACCTGATCACGACAGGGAACAGCCTGCGACCTCAAACCAAGGCTCTTGCTGAAACCTCATTAAAAGGAACAAACAAGCTGCACACCACCATACAAGATTCATAATCTATTCCATTCACAATGGAAACTTCATTAAATAAGAAAAGCCTGTAAATCTGTACAAAACTTATCATTAACAATTTCTTATGAATCTTTTATGAAAGATTTTTCACTCAACATGTTCAAGTATTTATAGCTGTAGTTAATTGTATTTATATTAACATCGTTTTTCCATAAAATGTTTTCTTAAAAAATATTTAAGCCTGTTTCCAGCCTGAGTGTGATTATGAGCATTAAATGATCTCTTTAACCTTGAAGGCTTTTATTCCTCCACACACATATGTGGCATTCTCCATCAGGGCATACGCACTGGGAAGGCAAATCACAGATCAAACTCCTTGAGAGATGAAGCTTCTTAAGAAGCAGAAAGAGGAGCAATATTAACATTTCAGAGGCTACTGCATCAGCTTTCTGGCAAGGGGGAAGCCAGCCACCCTCTCCTACACAAAGTGAACAGCACCTAAAAACCCCAAGACTAAAACCCACAGTCTGAGCAAACACCAAGGCCAGCCCTCCTGGCTGCTAGAATGGCTCCCTTTACTTCACGAAACAGATGCCTCCTTGTAAATCTCCAGGAGCAAAAGTGCGAAATTGTTTAATAAAACATTCTGCCAGCTCTGAAGGAGCATAAGTCAGGCAGAATGGCTAACAGGGGAGGTCAGTAAGGCAGGCAAATAGCTGGCAAGGTCTCAGATTAAATTATCTAGGACAGTAAATAAATGAGCCAGACAAGTTACTCCCTCCAATTAAACAGTCTCAATTAACAGCTCCTCAACAAAGCCCCAGTGATTTCCATACACACTGTAGTAGAACATACCCTGGCTGTCTGACATCCTGATCATTAAAACATCTGCCATAACTGGGAAGGTGTTTAAATTTGACACATCCAACTTCATTCAATAAGTCTGCTGAAAGATAATCAAAGCCACTCGAGATTAACTGCAAAGTCTGAAGAGATGTAAATATAAACAATATTTTTGCAATTGAGAAAGGCCTTTGAACCAGCAGCAAGCATAAATGTGTGTGGAAGACTCCCAAAGGCCTGGAAGTGGTGATAAACCCTGGGAAAGAGGAGCTCCAGAGAGCTTCGAGCAAAGTTGGAAGGTTTTGGTTTTAGGGACAGACAGACTTGGCGCTCAGTCCCTCTTGCCAAGTGCTACCTGGCAACTTCTGATGGGGGAAAAAGGAACAAATTATTCAACACTTTGCAAAACGGGGAAAATATCTATATATAGGTGTTAATACCGGTCATATAGTCTAAAGGTACCTCTTCACGATGGGCTAAGATCAAATCTATTTTCTGACAGGAACAGAAGGGCAAAATTACACTCTTACATGCATGCAAAAGTGCATGTACTCATTTCTTTCAGGCAAATGCCACAAAAATTACAATTTCTGCCCTAAGCAGCACATAGCACCTTTGACAGGGGTAAAGAAGCCTTTGGCGAAGGTASAGATTTCCAAAATAACAGAGAGAACTTATACAGTAATACAAAGAAAGCAAAGCAGCTCATGCTGTCTGTCCTGCATTAAAAATCTTCTATGTAGATTTACATGATTAGATGAAACAAGAAAACAGATTTATTTTCTTCTTCTCTTTAAAAAGCAACATACCAGAAATAAAGCACAGGGCAAAAATCCCTGTTGCTCCCAAATAGTCATGAATTTTGGATAAAAAGCAGCAATAGGATACAGCCATCCATGAAGATGACTAAATTAGCCCTGACCTCTTTAGAATAAGCAAGGGCTGGTTCTATAAATGATTTAAAAAAAAAGGGGGGGGGGGGTTGAAAAGTGAAGGTCAGGCTGCATTTAACCAGGTTGAGTCGAAGCAAATCTGTTTTCCCATGCATCTCTGCTATCCATATCACCAAAGCTGGCTCCAGCAGCTAAAGCAGGCTCTTCTCTGCCTGCTTCAGCAATGCTGCCACACTTGGCTTTGTCCCTACCGGTCCTTCATCAGGTCCTGCCACTTGCTGAGAGGTATCTGCTTTTTGTCCTGCAACCTCAGCATTGTCTTGCTCAGAACAAATGGTTGCTGTGCTTTGCTCAGGTCTCTTTTGATCTTGGTTCTTGTCTGTGGCTTTTGCTCGTGTGTTTTCACTCCCATTTTCTTCTGCCTTTTCATGCTGTTCTACCCCGTCTGCCTCGCTCTTGCATCCCGGGAGGACACTGCTGCAGTGAGGCTGGTCGCTCTCAGCTCTGACTTTGTCTCCACCTGACTCCAGGTCGTCGCTTCTTGGAGAAATCTGGTCCATATTGGGAATTTTGCACTCAGCTCTGGAGTCCACAACCCCTCCTTCTGCATCACCACCGGAGTTCTCGCTGCTCTCTTCCACAGCTGCCTTTTTTTCACTAACTTTCCCCTCCTCAGTGTCAGTGGTTGTAATGGGTRTATTTGAGTGGGCACTGGGAGCAGAGGGCTTCATATTTAGGTTAATGGCCAGGGGGCAAGTTTTGCCTTTCTGTGCTATTTCATCAACTTTCCTCCGCTTTACAGCTCCATCAGTTGGCTCTGGTGCTGGTGCGTCTCCAGTGCCCACAGTGTCTTTAAGTATTTTCTCATTCTCTTCTGTCTGCTGCRCTGAAGCTGAGGAGGGGTTTTCAGCATCAATTGCACATTCTCCCAGATTACGGGAAATTTTTTCAATATCAGGAGGAAACAATGTTTCACTGTGTTTAGTGTCTGCCTTACTTGCATCCAGTTTTCTCTTCTTGCTCTCCTTGGTGCCATCACTCTCTGCCATACTCTGCACTTCTTCAGCCTCACTGTTCAAATTCTTCTCCTCCTGTTGTGCAAGTAAACGGTCTTTCTCTTCTTCACCATCCCCTCCCTCCAAAACACGTTCATTTAACTTCTCTCCTAGATCTTTTTCATTCACGTCTTCAGGCTGTAAGTCTGAACTTACATTTAGACCATCTCCATTATCTTCAACTTTCTTCTCCTCCTCTAGCAACCGATCCTTCTGATCCTTTTCCACCGACCCATCGCTTTTTGCGACAGGAATTTCCCGTTTACTTTCACCCTTTTGGCACGGCTGTGTCTTGGCTGCGCGGGGCCTGTACCTCAGCAGTTTGTCTTGCGGCGCCCATACAAAGCTGCTCTGAGGTTTGAAGTGCTGCCAGGCATAGTAGACTAGTTCTCTTCTCTTCCGTTTGTTTCTGACAGTGAACAGAAAGTAATCCAAGGCACTTCTCTTGACATTTGGTAGCGTCTCCTTTACAAGAGTTTCTGTTAAGAAAAACTTCACCAACTGGACTTGATAATCTTCGTATCCCATTTCCCCCAGGCACTTCAGGATGCGAGTAATGCGCAAATTGTTGTGGCTAAACCTGATGGAAACAGGCAGAGTTGTTAAGGGGAAGTCTTACATGTTTGGAGTTACACTGAACCTCAGGGTTACAAAGAATTTCATATATTGTTAATAAGCATCTATTAAAGAATGTTTGCAGATGGGGATGGGAGTATAGGCTGGCTTACTTTTAAAGCACCTACTGCAGCTGTCTACTTTCAGAAGTACCTTCCTAGCCCTCCTTGGATTGCTCGCATTAAACATCTCAACTGCTTGGAAAGGTTCTGGCTTTCTGCATCATCCATCAGAAGATAACAGCCACCATATTGGGTCAGACACATAAGTCCACGCAGCCCAATATCCTGTCCCTGATGGTGGCCTGCGGGGTAAGCCTGTAGAAGAGTATAAAAACACAGGCATGTGAGGATGCTTCCCTTGATGCTTCCAGAGCTTAACTACTTTGGGACCTAGGCTAGACACAGAGTTTTTCTATATGACAGTCCTCAAATTGATTTTTCTTCTGTGGGTATGTGAAGTCCTTTTAGAGACCCTTTTAAAACCACTAGGAAGTAGAGACTATTAAGGGTCAATATTATCAATGCAGTAAGAGCTACGAAAACACAACATCACCAAATTACAAAGCACTTTTCAATGACAAATTCAAAGCACTGCACTGGTCTCAAGGTAGCTTTATAAACAATCATGGAAGCATGAAGCATACGTTAAAACACTCCTATATTATGGTTTAAAAGGATCACTACAAAGGTAGTTTGACTACCTGTAAAAACTGCTTCAGAGAGAGTCAAGATAATAACTTCGCTAACTGACTTTTGTATCAACAAAAGCATCCATTCCTCAAGRGCTGACAATTTTCTCAATCATTTTTTCAGCCTTCTCAAAACAGGTCTGGCTATAAGTGCCCGGTAACATAGAGACTCACCGGTTCAGATTTTGGAATCGTTCAGCCCAATTTTCTGCTCTTTTAAGTTCTCCAGTTTTCTGATTAGTCAGAGAGATTCCATAAAATCTCAACATGAGCTGATAAGCACGTTCAAATCTTCGCATAACATCACTGGACTTTTTCAAGGCCTAAAAGGCAAGAGACACCAGTGAATAAAAGTAGCAACTAACTGCAAATTCTTTTTTTTCTTTTTAAATGACCTCTGAATAATAAATAAGGGTYGGTTCTATCAGTAAATACAAGATTTGTTGCTGTAGCTACTGGCAGACACTCAAGACAGTCAAATGTCACACTTAAAAGCACTTGTGTGAGCTCTGTTAACACTAGGGACTGGAGGATAAAAAAAAGTAAGGGCATCTAGGGATGAATGAACTTTTAAGTTAAAATAAATACATACCTCTATTTCTTGACACGTGAGTCGCCTGGCATGCCAGTTCATCCCATGTTCACGTAAAGGGAATAACCTGAAGAGAAAGAAATTTTCTGTCCAGGAGATGCAAAAACGACATCCAATCCAGGCTGTCCATTCAATTAAAATGAACAAAGATTTCAGTAAGTGCTATCAAAGGCATCTCTAGAAAATTTCACATCCTTACAGACATAGAAGTTTACTATATGACAAGTGCCTTCCATCAAAATAAATAAATAAATAAATAAATAAATAATGTAAACAAAGGTCCTATCAGAAGGCTTTGCTCTTTGGGACCTCTCTGGCTGCATCTTGTTCTGCAGCATACTGGAAGATCAAGCATGACAGATCTGTCACCATAGCTACAATAGAAACCTGAGTCTTCAGGACATCCAGCTCATTGCTTCCATAAGAACATAACTCACAAAAACGAAGTGGGCTCAAGTTTGACTCAGGGGTGGCTCTGGGCCTCTTGGGAAGCTGAATTCAGGAACAGATATGCTATCAATTGTGAAGACAAGAATCATATTATACAGGGGTTTACCACTGTATGTAAGAATGATTTTCTTCAAGAATTTCATAGTCGTCCCACCAAGTCTCAAGAAGACGTTCAATAAGCAAACCTAGAGAAGGAAAGAAATGAAACATAAATTTAAAGTTAGTGAGGCCAGGGCCAGGTGTTAGCATGTACATATCAGTTCAGGTAAATAGGTGCTTTAAGGAGCCAGAAAAAAACCTCTAGATTTCTAGCAGCAAACAAAAAAACAAAGGAACATTTGGCACAAACAGGGAGGAACTGGCAAATTCTGCCTTTTAAAAGGGAAACTCCTCCGCACTTTTTATAGTTTTCCAATGTAGGTCAGTTACTCTTTGACCAATTGAAACAGTCACAGTTCAGATGTACTGAAGTCAAGCAAGGTACTCACCACGGGGCATAAAAGGAACCTCATTTCTGTAGAAGCTCAAGTTCCACATCTTTTCCTCCTCATCACTTTCTGGTTCTACCAAATCCTGAAGATAAGAACAAGCAATCAAAAAGCAGCAATCTTTAAAATGCAGCATCCACTCAAACACTTCTTCAATTTCCTCCGTCAGCTGAATACTCAAGTTGTGCTTTGGGCAACAGCTTATTTGTGATGTACCCACAAGCATATAACCCCTTCTCCCTCACAAGTTAAATTCTTAGAAGTTCTGACCATGTCAAAACAAAGACAAAACCATGTTCTCAAATCCAGCAAGTTATCTTTAACTCAGCACTTGATGAGGAAGAGCCCTGAAAGCACGTGCATACCGGGTAGCGACGTCTGTATCTCTGCAAGTCTTTCGCTGCATTCCAGTTGCGCTTGCCTAAGAACTAGAGGAGAGAGACAAATCAATGATCCAGAATTAAAAGCTCTCCTGCAAAAGTGTAGCTGGCCGAAATCTACATCTCTAACAGTTATTCTTCTGCCTATCACTCACTTGTACAAAGCAAGATAACAGACACGCAGGGTCACACTAGATATTTTATTATGTTCTCATAACAATCCTCATCTTGGTTACTCATCATTCCAAGCAAATAAATTTTACTTCAAACCTAACTGAAATCCCTTCCGAGACAACAGTGACAAATTTGTTCTTCTCTGCACCTACAAAGAAGAGTCATTTAACGTGAAACTGAAAGGCAATCCAACTTGTCAAATAAAACAAGAATATATATAAAATGAAGATTCTCCCAGCAGGGATTCACATGATTATTAGTTGCCAAGTGACAGATCTACATAGTTACAACTGAATTCAGCCCATTTTATTCATAATTCAAATTACTGTAAAAAGTTCACCTGACAACTGTCAGGTTCTTCCTGCTACCAGATGTGCTAGATTTGTTCCAGATCTCTCATCAATGAGGTTAAGTAGGGATAAAGCACCTGCAAACTCAACAGTGTAAAACATGTTCAAAAAATGTAGCAGCTAGACCTAAATCACAAAGAAGAGTTTCATCACTTCCTCAAGCTGTGAGTATGACACCATTTAAGATGCATTTTAACCAAATTAAATGCATGTGTGTATTACTTCAGTGATAAGAAAGCTTTTGTTAAAATTCACAGGTAGGACAGACAGGCTTAATCTTGTTGGGCTGCTGAAATCTCTTGTCCCAAACCACGAAAACCTTTAAAATTGTTCTGGAGTGTCAAGGCAGACCCATCAAATCAAGCAAGGCTGCTTGTGACCATAAGGACCTGCCCACTGCAGAGCACCCTGAAGTCAGAGCTTTCAGTGCTGGGTCTCTGTGGAACTGCGATAAGATGGGCAGATTCTTGCAAATAAACATTTTCAGTAACCCAGAAGGAAGCAGCAGCAAATGCTCTCTTGAGTTATTTATGAACTGCATTTGATACTTTCTGATCTCCTTAGTCTAGAGAAAAACAAAAACCAAAACCACATCCATGTGAAGAGTGATCACTGGTTTGATTAATTATTAAGGGAGGAACTGGATTAGATTTTATAACATCTTCTAGTAATACAGCTCACCAGCCCTGCTGATTTCTGGTACTTTCAGTTTATGAAATATACAGTATCTGGAAAAGCAAAACTTTGTCCATAGAGGAAAGTCATCTATACGCAATTTTTTAAAGTTACATTTAAAACGTACACATTTACACACCACGACTCTCTCRTATTTCTGTGACAGGAATTAAATAGATACTGCTGGACTTTTGTTTTTGTTGAATATCTAAAATAATGCCTGTTTACATAGGAGTACATCTCCATTTTACATGGCAACGTAGACTAGAACAGCTGGGGGAAGTTTTCCAAACCCCGTGGCCCATGACACAGACATGATTAGAAGTCTGAGCACTGATATCCAGTCACATAATCTACCCAAACTGCTAACTAAGAAATTCTGTGAAGCATAAAAATCAGCAATTTCAAACAAACAAAACCAGACTTTGCTACAAACTTAACACTTGCGAAAAACAGTAGCAGGCTGCAAGCAAAATGAGAAATATGTTCAGCCAGAACAAGTCAAAAATATTCTTTGCTCAAGATGCAAGGAGGAAATAGGATTTAACAAATTCATTATGCTTTTGATGATAAAATTTTTGAACTTCAAGGCTGTAATTTTAATATCTCTGGAATCAATTAGAGATTTGCTCCTAGTTACAGATGAATCAACTTGCAGATGTTCTTTATATCAACGGTTCTAAAATACTACCATTTAGTAAAGCTAACACAGGCTAACAGCAGGCTCCAGATCTGAAGGATCCGTTGGCAGGGGAGCAGCTGCAGGCACGGAAAGAGACGCAGGGCAAGGCTGCAAAAAACACAGAGGAGAGGCAGTAAACCTTGGAGGGAAGCTGGATCCAAGACAGACACTCTCTGGATCCAGGACAGACACTCTTTGGAGCAAAGTATTAGTGGAAATAGGATGGAGATGCAAAGAACAAACTCGGTCTCCCATCCAAGCAAGTGTCCCTGGGTCTAAACTTCTGCCTAAGAAAACAAACCCTTCCCTTTCCTTCCAGATGTGAAAGACAAATAGAAATGCAAGATTAGGAAAGTTGTGTGCATAAGTTAGACACATATTTCTCACAACACTGATAAGCAGTATTAGATTAGCTCCATCTCCAACAGGCCGATTACATGTGTATTGTTATTTGAAGGGTGTGAGAAATCAGAATAATGTCAGGAGAGGATAACGTGACTTGTGTTTGCCTGAGAATTGGGAGGTAGCTGCAAGTAAAGGGGAGGGAACAATGTGCAGATTATCAGCCAGACACAGAAATGAGAAGGAAAACAGCATCCTGGAAGAGCAGTAATAAAAAGCTCTAACCTGCATACTGCATAAAAACTTTAACAGCTTCTGGAATAAAGAATACCCTCTAGACTGAAGGGAGAAGAATTAGAATTTGTGTGATAAAAATCAGAAACAGGAACTAGGCTGGGAAACTGATTCAAGCCTTTGGGTAGCTGTAGAGGCACAAACAGACCAAATTTGCAGTTTCTTTTCCTATTCATTCTCACTCTCTCAAAATTTTTTTCAGGAACCGTCAGAGGTGACTACTCATTTGGCACTGAAGGATGAGCTGTTCTTTAAAGATGCAGAACAATAGTGTGGGGCCACACATCTCAGGGACAGCATCCATCACTGTAAGGCAAAGTCTGAACAAACTCCCTTCACTGGAGTGAAAAAACGGTCACTGCATTTCCTGTTGTCTCAATCCAGGAATCCCGGAATGGTTGAGGTTGGAAGGGACCTTAGAGATCATCTAGTCCAACCCCCCTGCTCAAGCAGGGACACCTAGAGCAGGTGGCACAGGGTCACATCCAGTGAAGTGCTGAAGTGTTGCTTAAAAAGAAAAGAACAACCTGGAGGTTCTAGAAACATTTGCTAAAGTTTAAAACTTGTAAACAAAAGCAAAATTCCAGCAATGAACAAAAATATCACCACGTGCCTTCAAGCAAAGAGCAAAATCCATTTCTGTCCCTGTCCGTCCCTTCAGTACTACAGTACTACAGAGATTCAACATAAAATCCTGGTGACTTTTCACACATATGGCCAAGGTCTGGAGCAAACTCCAGGAAGGTGCAGAGACATTTATGAGCATGTCCATCTGACTTAAACCTTGCTTTGATTGTGAAAAGTAGGATGAGCAGGAAATACAGAAGGAAATCACAAGTGTTTGGAGTACCAAAGCGCACAGAAAAAGAAAAAAAAAGGGGGCTATTAAATATATATATATATATATATATATATAAAATGGGATTTTATGTTCAATACTAAACTCCTTCCAGTGTATCAAGCTTTATCTGCCTATATATATTCTGAGAACACGACCAAGTCACTGAAGCAAAGCCCGGGTGCAGGACCAGTTTCTCTTTCCCCGGGTAGGAGGAGCTGACATCATTTTAAGGCRGCAGGGACAAGTGCTCGCATTTTGCAGCGCTCCTGAGAGCACGTACAAGGTTTCTGAACCATGAACGCATCTTCTGCTTGCAGAGCTGTTCTGTAATACACTCCCTAGAAAATAAAATGCCCAGGAGAAATAAAAGCGATGCTTCCATCGGTTCACTTTGGACGCAAGACCACAGGAAAGCACACGGTAATAAATAAGCAGACACAGGGAGCTGCAGGATATCGACACATGGTTCGTGATGCCAAAATCAAAACCCACTATAAATGAGGACCCATAAATACAGGACTTGTATTTATGGGGCGAAAACCCTGATTATTACGGGTCCTTCCCCTGGTCGCGCTGGGGGCAGCCCCCGGACCCCCCGGGGTCGCACCCACCTGGGCGCCGCCGGCCTGGCGGCCGCTCCGCCAGCCACCCGGCCCCGCCGCCGGCCCGGCGTCCTGCGGCTCGGCCGCGGCCGCCGGCTCGGCCCCGGCTGCCGGCTCGCCGCCGCTCTCCTCCTCTTCGTCCTCCTCCTCTTCGTCGCTGCCGCTCTCCCACGTGGAGTCGTAGCCCCAGAGGGCCGCCTCGTCGCGCGCCTCCCCCGCGGCGCCGGGCCAGGCCGCCATGGCAGCGCGCGGGGAGCGCAGCGCAGCGCCGCCTCACAAAGCGCCGCGCGCGCGCCGCACGGCGCGCACGGGAGGCTCCGCCCACGCCGCCCACCGCCGCGCCCCATTGGCGCAGCCCCGCCGCGTCCCGCGTCCCATTGGCGCAGCGCCGCCAAGCCCCACCCCCAAACTGGTGGGCGGGAGGGGGGACTCCGCGTAAAGAGCCTCGTCTACGGCCGCCCCCCAGGGACACAATTAATATTAACGAAAAAAAAAAAATAATTAAGCAATGAGCGATGAATTTAAAAATACTAAAAATATTTTAAAATGTAAAAATACTGGGAAAATACAAACTAAAATATTAAAATAYATTTTTAAGATGAAATTAAATAGTGAGACCCCGTTTTGCTCTTGCCTGTCTCTCGCGGGCGCTGCATTTTGCCCCTTGGCTGGGTCCCCTGGTGCTGCCCCAGCCTCATCCGCGGCTGCTGCTGCAAAGGGGACGGGATGCTGCCGCTTTCCTCTGGCCTGTGGGATGGCAACTTTTTTAGCATAGAATCTATTCAATAAAAAGGATTTACTCACCGGGCTGTGAGACCTTAAAATTAAAAAAAGAAATCTGCAATTTATGGTTAAGACCTATACTGACCGTTAGAAAGTAATGAGTGTTTTAATTCTTAAGGAAACAGGAAAAGTTAASAGAAACACTCACCTTTGAGAGCTCACTCAGGAATTGATCTATAAGCAAACTATATGATAACTTCAAGTAGCTTAACAGGACTAACCATGGTAGTAATTTGAGGATATTTTTTAAAACCTCAAAAATAAAACTCCTTCATACCAACTTACAAAAGAGCTTGATTTCTATCAAGAGCTTGATTTCTATCCAGCTGGAAAACTTTGGAGTCACCTGTAACATCYCTCCCCCAAGGTGGAGCTTTGTGGAGCTCTCCATCTGGAGAGTGGGTCACTGGACCATTTGCTGAGCTTTCCAGCTGGAGCACAGCAATAAATTAATGCGATTTTATGGCTTCTGGTTTGAAATTTGTTCCTGTCCAGCCACCTCAGATCCTGGACACAGGGAGCTTGCGGCCGGTTGTAAAAGCACATGTGGAAGCAGCTGTAGAAGCCACCCAATAACATCCTGGCAGCGCTTTAACTTTCTAGAGTTGACTAGTGGAAGCAAATGATACGGTAAAAAGGTTAACTATCAAAAGATAAAAAAGGTCATGCTCTGAACTCAATATTTCACACCCGTTATGCTAGGTYGAACACAGAAAATAGAGAAACAAAACAGAGAAAATATGGTGTTCAGGAAAACAACAGCAATTCCCCCATGGACTTTAGCAAGCTAAGATTTTTTAATCAAAAATATTATTTAAGTTATAGGGTACTAATTCCTAAGATCCAGATACAGTCATTAAAAAACAGCAAAATAAAAATATTTAGGCTCCTAAAGAACTGCTAAGCAATTCTGAGGAGCTTCACTAAAAGTACAAGGTACTTAAATACCATAAACTACAAGCCAATTTCTAAGTTACATAACAACTATTATTTAGTAAAATGAACATGTCAGATCTATTCTTGGTATAAAACAACAAACATGAATAAAACAGGAACTTGGCTATGTACTTACAAAAAAAAAAAGAATTCAGGTTTCTAGCTTCTAATTGCAGTACTGAATGCAATACTGTGATTCTTTTTATTTATTAATGATAACTAATATTGTTTTGCCATATTAATGGATAGTTAATATGGTGAAACAAATTGAATATAATTTCCGTCTGTTTCATTCACCGTTTAACAGGTGTTTGTTAAGTGCAAAGCACCTTTTGGCAACTATAAACAGTAACGTCTACCAAATTTGTATTAATACTGTAGCATATAAAAATAAGCATTATAATACACCAGTAAATTCTTTTACTAAAACTACGTCAGAATACTTAGGTTGTAGATCAGGATCAATATTTTGCAATTTTGCAATAACATTTARTAAAATCACTTTTAAAAAAAGTTTAAAGTACAAACCCCACTGTTATATACATTACTATAGTACAGATAGATGAAACAACCTCTCTAGGTTTGTGCACAACTCAGCTGATCCCTTTCAGTATCACATGACATGACTGGCTATTTTATATAGAACACTGATTGATTCTTCTGACTAGAGGCTCTGTCATTTTCACTTAAACTATACATATTTATAAAGAACGGGAAAGAAAAAGTTACACCACTAAGGACCAGGTAGCAGAGGTTTCCTTCATCTTCTAACAACTATAACAATATGAAAGAAAACTTCAACTCATTAGTTATCTGGATTTAAAAGAGTTAGTTTTACTGAACAAAGCCAGACATTTGATACAAATGCTACATCTGCAATAAGTAGAACAGCCAAACAACATTAACCACAGAGGGCCTGAWATATTCAAAGTAGACAACATAACAAAGGCAACAAAAAAGATCCAAAATTTACAGAAATAACCCGAAGATTTTCACGAACTGAGCCTCTTTCTTTAACTGAGCACCTGTTTCATGAGCTGTGCTGACACAGTACGTTAGTGGTTTGAGACACAGCCACCTCCTGAACTTTTAAAGCTGACAGCATCCTCCCTCAACGCCCTGAGCAGGCAGTTATCACTCAGCTACTCACTGCTGACAAAYTAACAAATTGGAGAAGACGGGCGACCTCTTGCATGGATACAGCCAATGTGCAAATTCTTCAAATACCTGGCTCAGATACCTTCTCCTCTCTTAGAAAATTCAAGTATCGTCTTCCTTGCTATTCAGTTTTCAATGTCCCTTCTCCGTGTTCCAGTTTTATGCTCTCCTCTGTCACGGCTCTATGTCCTGCGTCGTTTYGCAGCGCTCGGGCTGGAGGGGTTACTGTTGGCATTTAAGACCTTTTCGGTGACTCTGTTGCGCTTCCTCTTATCAGATCCCTCCTTGGACCCRGGGTCTGACGAAGTCTTCTCCTTCTCTTTGCTGCTGGGCTTTTCACTTGTTTTTCCTAAATTTCCAGAAGGTGTAAAAACTGAAATAGGACCAGAGTGGTGATTCCAGATCAGACGTATATAGACGACAGGCAAAAAAGAAATCACATCACATTTCTTTATGTTATTTGAAACTTCTCTAACCAATCAAAACTCATACTATCTTTAAGCCCTTTCATGTGTTAAGTTTTATGCAAAAACGTTCTGTAAAAGGGCATTTCTTGCTTTTTTTTTTGTTTTAAAGCTAAGCTTGAATTTTAATAAGCTGAAAGTAAAATTCTGTAAGTGGAATTAAGAGCACTTAACATCAGAATACTTCATAGGAACATTTACAGAACATATGACCAACTTTAAAAATTCAGGAATGTTCACTTCATAGACTTTGAAACTGAGTATCCAAAACGTCTGCATATCTCAATCACTTTTTTTTTTTAAATCTCACTTTACTATGTAAAGTTATAAATTTACCTTCTTCTGGGCCTGTGTGAGTCTCCATCTCCTCTTTTATTTCCTCTTTTATTTCTTCTTCAATCATTACTTTTCCTGCAGAAAGGATTGTTAAACAACTGTTGGGTGATTTTAAAGAATCATATATAGATTTTCCAGCTTAGTCACCTGAACATATGGGCACAATGTTTGCAAGCATTCAGTGCAACACTCAGTATTAATTTTAGAAGTGTTCTTCAGCATTATCATAGAAAAACGTAAAAAACAATTCAACAATCCAAAAAAGGAAGCCCAAAATAAACTGCTCATCATTTTGTACTGCAACATTCTGACTCTCATTCTGCATCGAGGTATCAGTTGACACACACAGATCATCCATGTTAATGCTCTAAATGACACACAMAAAAAAAAGTTTCTCTATTTGTAGCATCCAATCTATATTATACCTAATAGCATGAGAAACTGTGCATGAAGTTGTGCTAAGATACCTGTTCTGAACAGAGATTAGAGCAAGTGGAAATATGAGACTGCTGTCACATCTTACCTTCTCTCACTTCTTGAATCATTTCATCAGGAAGAACAAAATTTTTCTCTATGTTGGGAAATGGGAGAATCTCAGATTCATGCTTTGGAAAAAAAGGAAGATTTCTATGAGCGAYCTTGACAAAATAACACTTTGATTTGAGAGTTAGAAACAGAGTCCCWTTCTCTATATGCAATTAGTAGGTAAATAATTCTTAAAAAGTGCTTTAGACACTGGAGAATCAAGAGGTTCTCTATGTCAAAWGAGTTAATAAGGTCAAGACAAACACAACAAGGTACTCCTGGAACCTGACTTTGGCAAATTCTTTTTTATATGCACTGTATCCTCCCTCTCACGAACCTATATAAAGGTACGTAGGCTCAGTAAATAGATAAAAATTACAAAAAAGTCAGAACTGAGCATAGAAAACAAAAACAAAACGCTGTTGGCTCCATCACATCCCTCCTGATGTGCTTTCCCAGGAGGAATCTCCCATCAACTCACTGAAAGGACACCCAGCTCTTGGCACCAGGCGAGGCCGAGTAATTTGGGTCTACAAAAACTCCCCAACTTTGGGAGCCAAGAGCGCTCCCGCGCCGCCTCCATACTCACAAGCGCCTGCATATCGTACATGGTGCTCAGGTGGTCCCAAATGACTTTGGAGGAAATCTGCCGGCCGATGTTCTGGCTGAATTTATCGCGGATGCAGATCATGTGGAAGTGGCGATTCACCCCTGGGGAGGGGGTAAAAACAGTCAGAAATCAACGCGACTGCAGTCCAAAAACACCCGTCCCCGCAGCCCCGGGCCCGCGCGGCCTCCATGGGCAGCACCGCAGCGCGGCCGGGCCCCTCGACTCCGCCGCGCGGCCCGCGCCGCTACTCGAGCCCGCGGCTCGGGCTGCGGCCTGCTCTCACCCACGGGCTTGTGGCCCAGCATGGCGTGGAAGAGGCAAACCTCCACCTCGGGGCTCCACACCACCACGGCCTCCTCGGCGGGCACGCCGGGCTCGGGCGCGCCCGCAACGGCGGCTGCCGCTACCACCGCGCCGGCTCCCGCCGCCGCCACCGGCAGCGGCGGCTTCTCGGCGGCGCCGGTAACCGCCAGGCGCCGGTGCCGCCCGCGGGGATTCAGGGGGAGGGGCGCCGCTGCCCCCCCCGCAGCCGCCCGCTTTTGTTGTCACCGAGCGGGCCCTGGCGGCCGCCCCGGGGCTCCCGCCGGCCGGGAAGGGCGGTTGGGCGCGGCGGTTGCCGCGCGGGAGGAGGCGGGACGGGCGGTTTGGGGTGAGAACAGGCTGTTTAGGGTCTTTTCTGGAGCCAGAGGGAGTTTGGAGGAGGGTTTACCTCAGGGGTAGGCTGCGGCTGGGTTGGTTTGGGGTGAAAACAGCCTTTTTAGGCTCCTTTCTGGAGCTCGAGCAGGTCTGGAGATGGATTTACCTCAGGGGCAGGCAGTAGCTGGACTGTGTTTGGGGTGAAAACAGCYTTTTTAGGCTCCTTTCTGCAACCAGAAACTCCAAAACAAGGATATTAGAGACAGCTCTGATGACACCCAATAGCCCCATTGCCACGGCCTCAGCCACCCATCGTCCATGAGACTGTTCCCATTCCCGTTATCCCTCCAAAGAAGCTCCCAAGTTATGGAATTGCACTTGGAAAAGACTCGGAATGACACACCGAGCTCCCAAACTGCTAATCCTTGTCACAACAGGATCATCTTATTCGAACCTGTCATTGATGCTTAGAAAATAATTGTGCCTTAAATGCTTAAAAATGCAGAACCCACCAGCTTTGCAAGTCATTTAAGAAATATTAAAAAAAATTGAAGTCATTTAGGGAAAAAAAAAAGAGTATCATTCCTTCTGTGATGTATTTTTCCTTTATTTTTATTTTTTTTCACGTTGTTGGGTATTATTAGGCATACAAGCATGAAACAGGTCTTCTGTTGCTTAGGTGATCAGGTTTTCTTATTGCTCACTCTTCACTTGATATCTTAATCCTTTTTGTGACATTAAAATAATTTCAATAGCAAATAACAATGACATAAATACAGAATGACTATTCAGGTGAATAATAAAACAGTGGGAGCAGATGCTCACAAGCAAGAAGATGTTTTCATGTAAAGTATGCTGGTAATCAAAAGTTAGAAGGGCAAAAAAAGGAAATTTTGTGAAATGGAGAATTTTCTGTACCTTTGATACCTAAGAAATTAACTCATGTACTTCTTTGGGGCCTGGTGTGATGCTTATACTTAAAACAGATTAATCTTAATATTTAGTGAATAGAAGAAATGTATTTAACCCACAATTTCACTTCTAAATTCTTGGCATGTTTGGTGGTAAGAATGTTGGATATGAATTCCCAAGCACGAATTCATATTTCCATCTGGGTCCCAGCTAGTACCTCAAAATGCAAAGGGATCTCTCACCCCGATCTGCTTTACATACTCCTGAAATTTTCCAGGAATATCTCTTTCTGTGAGAGCTCCGTGCAGAAGGACAGAGATCCTGCCTGGATGTCTTTTTCCCTGTCAAGACTGTAGGAAACTCCAGAAATACTTTTTTTTTTTTTTTTTTTTTTTTTTCTGTCTGCTGTCATCTGTGTATCGCTGTTCTGGCTGTGATGCACCTGCTGCTAAACTTCTCAGCCTTCACAAAACTTTCCTCATTTTAAGCCAAAAATATGTTTCAACTTGATTTTCCTGATTTCAAAATCAACTCTGCATTCTTTTCCAGTTAAATCCATCCCTGTAAATCTAATCTAGCATTAAACCTAATATGCCTCTAAGATCTTCTAATATTTATTTGATCTATGCTGCTACCTAGTCCTAATTTGCTATTAAAAGAGAGGGTTATGATTTCCTATGATGACTGCACAGCAGGAGTAAATGAGTTCCTGAACAACTAAATTCCTGTTTTCATACAAATGTTTCTAGAAATAAAAAAAAAAAAAAAAGGCAGAAGAGAGAAGAAAAGCAAATAAATTATAGAGCAGAAAAATTGTTCCTCCACAGACTAGTTCTCAAAGTTTTGCAGGAAGAGAGGTTTTTTTTTCCCAAAAGTCTGTGTGAAACACAGTTTCAGCACTCTCATCTGTCAAATTTTGCCTTTACTTAAAGACTATCATCAAGAGGGAATAATTGTGTCAGCTCAGATAGCAATTTTTATGTCATTAAGTTCTGATGATTAAAAAAAGTAGCATGTGAAACGAAATGTGAAAAACATATGGCTACCTCTGGAAGTACAATAGCATATGAAAATTTAATTCAGGAGAATAATGTTAATTCAACAGGAAGACAATATGCATAAACTGATTGCTATACTATTTCAATTGCGAATAATCACATTTCCTTGTGTCTACATGTCCTCATCCCTTTCAATGCCTCTAGAAATAATATATGGAAGTCTATAATAATGTCATACACAGTCTCCACATTGATTAGGGTCAGAGTTAAATTCTTCTATTTTAAAATTTCAAAAAAGCTTTTTTTCCCTCACTGAACAGATTTTTCAGCTTTTGACAGTTTTCCCCTCCTTCTCTTGCTCAGTGTTAAGTTTTACTTTTGGTAGTAAACAGATACGAACAATGTAGGACATGCACAGTTTAGTCCTTTTATCTTTTATTTTTCCTACACTTTTGGCTGTTTTCAACCGTAGAARTCTGTCAGACTGTTGTAGCAGCGAAGAGTGCTCAGCCCTTTGCTGGATCATGTTATGTCCCTCGGGAGAGATGATCTCATATTTCATAAGACATCACAGTCAGAGCAACTGAGATATATGCCTAGCATTTGTCTTTCTCTCTAGAAACACTGGATTTCTGAGATAAGCAATATGGCTACAGCTATATCTGTTATCAATTTAGAACACCATGTGTTAGTGCCTTTAATGAAATAAAAATCTGAACACTGGAAAATTTCTGGTATGCCACATGAGCATTTATTAAAGAAAATATTAAGGAGGTCGTTACATCCTTTTGCGTTAGGCCCAGCTACATAGTCTTTGCTAGATATTTTTAGGACATCTTTGATATAGAAGCTCAAAGATAGAGGTTAATTAAACCTTGGGAGACCTGTGGACACCGTTACCAGGTTTATTTTACAGAAGCTGAGAAACAGAACTCAGAACAGATCAAATAGTTTGCTTGAGACCATCAACAGGATCTGTTAGAGCTGAGACAGGCACTCAGGAGTCACTGCCACCCAGTGCTGGGTGTCACAAACCAAAGTTACTTTTTCTTAGGAAGAGACCAAGTAAATAGTTGATACAACACTGTTGTATTAACAGTGAGCAGGGACTTTGCTTTCAAACCAGGCTCTTCTTACAGGAGCAAAAATATATTTTTTAATTCAAAGTAAGGAAAAYCACCCAAACAACCCCCAAAACACAGCAAAGAAGAGGGAAGCAGCTGTTGGAGAGAGGATACATTCAATTTGCTGAAACATATGTTCTTGAATCAAACTTTTCCCTGGCGATCTGTTGTGTTCATTCTCCCAGCAGAGAGAGGCTAGATATAAGATGGGCATCAGATGGCAAACCTTAGAGAAATAGATTGAAAAGTGGAAATAATGATCCCTAAGCACGCACAGGGACGTTCATTACTGCTGCTGTTAAGCTTTGAAAATATCATCCCAGGGCAGGGAGGGCGGTGGGAAGGGAAGAGGCATCTTGCAGATTTTTCACTTTAATAAATCCATCAGGCCCCAGGCTTGCAAAGAAGCATAAAGAAGGACCGCTGAATTGTAGATGAACCAGTTTAAGGAGAGCACCAGAATTGGTTCATTAATTAATGCCTGGCTATCCCAAATTAGAACCAGCAGACTTAATAGCCTGCATTTTTGAAGGTGATTTTTATTGATTGCACCTAACCTGCATACCCAATTAAAACTATGCAATTCCAGCTGGATAGCATAAGACCTACTGGGATTTCCTTCCTTGGCAATATCCACGGATCTTTTTTTTTTTTTTTTTTTTAATCTGGGACCTTATTTCTTGTTTGTGTTTCAAAACAAACATCCTGCTGTTAAAAAATGCATCTACATAAACACGAGGAGAAGGACAGCAGACAGGCTCTAAACCTGACTAGCTGACATTAAGTGACAAGAGCGCTTTACACTCAGCCTTTCGCTGTGGCGGAGGGTGGCAGCAGATTTTCACAAAGTGCCTTGTGGAAAATCTGCATGTTGGTGATGGGGAGATTATGTTAGGGCCCAGTTTTGCATTTCTGCTTTGAAGACTTGGAAGTAAAATCTTGGTGGTGGTGAAGGTTGCTTCATTGCAGCGCATTGCCACTTCTCTGCCATAACTCAGTGATTTTCTAAACAATGCAGAGCTGACATAAGTTGATGTAAAAGTTATTGACACCTATAAGCTATTGCTAAAGAATTTTGTGAAATTATCTRCGCTGGCTTCATTAAAGATTTAATTGCATAAGCCTTCCCACTTGGATCAGTAGTTTTTTACTGCACTCCACAATTTTAATCACTATCTTCTGCACTGTTTCCTACTACAAGTTCTACATAATTTTGCTCTTCTGTTGGTGATAGGAGAGTCTACAATGGATTGATATGGGATGAGTTGCTCAGTTTGCTCTACCACTTTGCCAAGATCACTGCTCACCTTCTACCTTACTGCGACTTCTTTATCAAGTATTTATTTTGCTCAGTAGCCTTCACTCCAAACTTGCAATGTAGAATGAGTGGAAGTGTTAACTCCAAACTCCAACCAAGACTCACAACAGAGCACAATTTTTTTTCTGGGTGACATCTGCAGGCAATTTTACATATATATCATAATTCCCATGTGAGTACATATGTTAGAGTGTTCCAAGGCCAGCTGTGATTTACAGGCCTCTTCTTTAGAATAGCCTCATTTTTCTTCTGGAATGGCTGTGAGTGAAGCTTGCACGTTTAAATCCATTTTATCTCTTTGCATTTCTGCAATAATCTCCCTCCCTTTTGCATAATGCATGGCAGCCTTAACACTTCCTGTTCCTTCAACTGTATCACTTGCTTAAAATAAGGATCTCATTTTCACATGAATCTTATGGCAGGGCAACCTGACAGACCAGAATCCAATGAAAATTACATCAAATTGAAAGAGAGCAGATGCCATTGTAAGTGATGGCAGGGCAGCACCATTACTACCGTATACTTT